CTTGCTTCATAAATATTAGCTTGTTCATTATTTATGGACTAATTTCTACTAGCGCTCTTTTAATGTCCTGTTTGGATTATTGCCTCGTATCTATAGCCCCCAATCTAAGAGCAATTATTTTTTCGATTTGGTATGTCTCGATAGCGAACTTTCTTTTTTGAAAAAAAACAGCAAGATAAAAGAATGCATTCTGTATTTTATGGCTTCTCATCACTTAACTTAAGCAAGAGATCGGTATTTTAGAGGCTCAAGAACCAAGTGATGAAAAACTTCTCAAGTTATAGCTTGCTTATATTCAAAACAGATCCAAGACCAGATTATGCTTTATCCGCATGCATAACTTAGTTTTATCTGTTTTTTTAAATAAGAAAAAATCATTTTAGTTTATAAGTAGGCTTTCGAAGCTACCAACAAATCATATATATTAATTGTGTTCATTCTATCCTTTGGGGTGATAAGTAGCTTAGTCGATTTCCATATCAAATACAACTTTAGTAGATAATGGGGAAATGTATAGTTTTCCTTGAAATTCACATCTGCCCCGTAACCCAAGGGCGTAGTGGCTAACGTGCCAAGATTATACGATGCACTGTCGTTGTTAGAGTCTCGCTGGTTGTGTTGATAAGACCTAGGCGAGGTATAAACTGAAATCTACCCTGAATGATAATAACTTTAGGGGGAAAAAGGCTCTGTGAAATTCAATGAAAATGTCAAGTTTTCTCATTGTGGGAAAATTCGACTATCCTTATCACCTTAAACGAAATAGGATGAATACATCATGTTTCATGTATTCGTTTTGCAGCATGCACTGATCTAATTCCTACTGGAAGTATCACTTATTTCCAATTATATTTTTTCTTGGTTATGTCGTACCTATTCGCATTATTTATTTTTATGAAACTGGTTGATTGGGACACCACCAAATTCACAGCAATATGTTGATATCGTAACTGGATTTCCGATCTGACTATTTATGTTTGGTCCAAAGTAAAAGTGACGTTACCATCAGGGAATTTTTATTTGTTTGCATAATGAGGGAATAGCAAAGCAAATATTAATCCTGATTGGCCTTTTTCCTGAAATTCCTCCTGAATTATAAATTACACTTATCTCTGAGTGAGTCTTTGTATCCAACCCCTTGCACCATTTAATAATAGGGGTGCATATTTATCTCGATCCACTACGTCTGAGTCCCTGGATTCGTATAAATTCCAATCTTGATGACTGCTAGTTTCCTTGCTTTTCGGCATAAGTCAAACCAATACATTGCATGCAATCTACCTCTCAGTTATCTTAAATTACTTTTTTAAGGATGCATGCTATCAATTTCGAGAGCAGCTAATCTTAACTTCGCATTTGGTTATAAACCCTTTCGTTAACTGAATTTAAAGCTGACCTGGCTAGTCATTTGGATGATTTGACGTTGTATTCATCCTTATAATTGACAGGTTTCCTTGTTCCTTATCTCATGATTTTCTTACTTTCTGAGACGCTAGTGTTTCTTAATTCTAACAACCATTCAACTCAATTTCCAGCGCACCTCATTTATTTCCTCTATTCTATTTTTAGCTATTCATTATGCTTGATATCTTAATTTGTAGACAAACTTGATCCCCGTGAGTATTATCAACGTGCATTGTCGCTGGTGAAGGATTTCCTTGATGGTGGTGAGGATTCGAATTCATTTGAAGACAAGATGCGTGATATGTTTGGCATCTATGCCTATCCATGGTTTACAATGGACCGGCTTATAATCAACCTTGTGCGTCAGCTTCAGTCATTGGCCAGTGGAGATGAATTGAGCCAGCGCTTGACTAGTTTGTTTCGTCACTGGAACAGTGTCAATGGGAGCAAAAGTTTGGCTAGTTATGAAGCCATGCCTTGCAGGTAAGCCTCTATGCTAATTATACAATGTTTATAAAAGCTGGAATGCTTCTACCAATCTATTTTTCGCTGTCTTCTGATGATTGATGTCCAGCTGTTTGTTTTATCTTTTTATTTTTCTCAAGTCTTACCGATATTTGTTTAGCGTTGCATAGCTTGTGTTTACTCTGCGCACTATTGATCTACGTTTTCTTAGTCGATCTTTGGTGATTAAACTACTTGATCTGGTGAGACTAATATTTGTCTATGTGGTTCTGGATTAGTTTTCTATGAATTCATACGATCACAATTATTTTATGCGTTGAATGAATCGATTAACTTAATACGACTTAGAGGACTATTAATGTAAATGCTAATTGGACGTATGTGGGCTAGCAAAATTAGTATTTAAATTCAAAACCCTTAAATGAGGAATCTTTTAAGGT